CTCCTTCTACTGGCTTCGGGTTAAAGAGGTAAATATTTTGGGAGAGGTCTTAAAAGTTTTTTTATATATTTTTTGACATTTTTTCTTACGTAGGAACGGGTTTTGATCAATTTTAATCGGTACTGCACCACATAACTGATGATCGGCAAATTCCGCAAATCAGCGGATATGAACTCAACAATTGCTATAGTAAACGCTGCTGAATAATTTGAAGGAGAACCTTTAGGAAACACTTTTTCCATTATAAACTCCATGTAGGTTTTAGAATTTTCTAGAGGACCAATTGGATCATTAAGGTGTTCAAAGACCATTTTGCTTTCACTCTGTCCATCCGCCTACCGACCATTGACTTGACAGTAGGCAGATTTTTCTTCTGCAAAGGTCTGATACATGGCATTTTTGATTTTTCACTAAGTAAACCACAGGTGTGGTGATAATGATCACATTAATACAAACTTGTTAACAATTTATTACTCAGTATAAAATACAAATAATGAAAAAGCATGACCTGATGAATAATTTAATGATCAAGTAGTAGGTATTTCCATCGCGTTTCTATATAATTTTGACATTGAGGTGATTTTGTAGTTCTACTTCAGCATCAATAACTTCATATATTTCAGAATTTATAGGATATATAAGTAATGTGCAATCAAAATTATAACGTTTATTATGCAATCTTACATTCTAATAGAATAATTTGTTATTACTACCTGCCACCATGAATCTTGCAATGTTTTACGTAATACTTGTTCATTGATTTCAACCAATGTAGTTTGGTTTCTTTCACAAATAATTAGTACTTCCTTTGCAGCCTGTTCAGCTTTTATAGCAGATTCAGATCTTTGATGATTAGCTCTAAAGTGAATGCAAATAATGCTAAATAAAAAAAATTATTGTATAAAAATAAAATATTGATAATATTATAATATGAATAAATGTATTTGTAACAGCTTTACATATCTTATTTGTAACATCCTTTTTTTATTTTTTTTTAATAATAAATTTAGTATGTAGTTTACAAATAAAATTTTTATATGCAAAATTTAATTTGGAAAACTTTTACTTAATGTACTTAAGACAGTTTCATAGACAAAATTTCAAGTTATAAGCAGTTTCTTGAAATTTTTTAAAAAATTCTTTTGTCTTGGTTACACAACTGATCTTTTTGTTTTTGTTTACATTTCGCCTGATCTTAAATTTTAATTGGATAAAATTGGGGGTTGTTACAAATAAGACGCGTAACAGGCTGTTACAATTAGATTTATCCTTATAATATTATGAATACCATCTTTTTTGTTTATTTGTTGTTACTGACAATCTTTCAATATTTAACATCTGAAAAATAATTGTAGGCAGAAAGAACTTCATTAAAAAATGATGTATTATTTATTAAAATTTTCCACTGGTTCAATATTTAGAGAAAGGTTGTCATTAGGCTCTATATTCAATGTAAATTCTTTTTCTGTTAGAATATTTTTATCATTTGATTCTGCAAGAATAAAATTCATATAGATTAATAATATTAATATGTATGTTTTGTGTTAGTATTCAAAATATTTATTAACTTTACTTATAACTAACTCATGGTAACTTGAATTATTTGAACTTTGAGTTACAGAAGCAGCCTGATTATATTTTTGAGTTATTTGAATGTTTCAATTTCAAGCCTTGAGCTTCTTGGTTTTTCGAGTTGCACAAGTATAAACCATTTTACAATATTTTCTTAAATATATATTTTCTTTATAAGAAAATTATTGATAATAAATTTTGAACATGAGAAATTTTTTAAATCATTAGTATTTGGATTTGGATCATGTGGCTTATTTTATATGATTTAGTTTATTATAAGTCACTGTAAAGTTTAATTGCTATACTGATTACAAAAATGATATAAAAAGGGAATAAAGATAAAAGGTGGCTTAATTATAATTGTTTTAAAAATATTAGCAATTAACAACCCTTTTTATTTCTATTAATAACTATTATTAACTATTTTTTTTAAAAATTAAACTATAAAAGGCTGATAATAGAATTTCTAATAAATAAATATGAATAAAAATCGGTATTTAAATCGTTATCAACGCCCAAATTGCCCAAAATGATTTTTCCAGAAGGAATATTTCTTACAAATCATATTAAATCCCATGAAATTAATGAGTATAATGAGGGCATTTTATTTACGAAAAAGAAAATTGATATTTAGAAATTATATAGTTTTCAATTTGTCAGCAGATTAATGATCAGGATCATTATTTAAGAAATTTATTGATACAACAATTATATTTTACATTCTATTATATTGCAAGGATAGAATTCGTGTCTATTAATATATATATTTAAAACTATTCTGTAAATTACAGTATATTTAAACAAGCGCAAAATTTATGATGAAATTACTCAAAGCAAACTCCTAATTTTCTTAAGTTTTTTACAAGATTTGAATCGATATGGAAGATACATAACAAGTGGTTCGTATTGGGATGGATTTCTTTGATTGCACTAATTAAGGATGGATCTGAATCAGTAAATATAGGGTAGATACCCAATAAAATAATCTCATTAAAATCCATCGAAAGTATCTAATGTTTCATCTTCTATAATTGCAGAAGCCAACGATCCTTGCCTTAAAATGATTATCTATTGGCAATGATGCAAAATATCATTCTGAACTGACGGATTTGTGTTTGATGCGGTATCTAAAATTACTTTGAAACCGTTCATATAAATTTCGCTGTGATGGTGACATTCACAATAAATGATTTAACTTTCTTGTAGAAAGTTCTAAGCGTGGTTTAACAGTCCATAATAGATCCAAATCTTTCCAATTTAACAGCGTTTGGAGCATTTGAGATGCATCTGAATCACCAGGGCTGTTTTTGAGACGAAACTGATATACTGCATTATATAAGTCTTTTTTAAATATGGTATGGCTATGCTTAAGTAACGGTAGATCCAGAATCCATTCGGTCTTGTATGACATGTTTTTCTATGTCAGATAACATGATCCATATTAAATATTAACACGTTCGATACTTTTTGCATGTTTGATATCAGCGTTATTTTTATTATACCAAGAGGCTTTTTTTTTGGTTCTCACAGTTCGGCAAAGGCGTCTAAAAAAAAGATTAGACTTTCATATGTCAATAATAAATTTTTATTATTATTTATTTTATTCTAAGAGGATGAGACTCGTACTAACTTGGTGTAGAATGTTAACTAGAAGTATAAATACATAGTAAAGAAGGCTAACTAAAGTAAGTTAACCAGCGCGTACTTCTTACCCTTCGTAAAAAAGAAAAAAGAAGAAAAAGAAATAATTATTATTAGAAAAACTACGCCGCTAAGTTAACTCATACGAAGGGTTCAATAAAAACAAGGAATAGCAATAGAAAATAAAAATTTGTAACTAAACAAAAAAATTAATTCTATCTGTATTTTTCTTTTATCCGAACTCCGAAGGTGTTGTACGTAAATAATGTTAGGTACGAGATGGGAATAGTGCTTCGATCCGGATGAAAACCGTCATCCGGATTACACAAAAAAAAAAATCTGGATTCTATCCGGATTGATCCGGATTAATATCCGGGTCAGATAATCCGGATGGAAACCGGAATCCGGATTGGATTTACATATAAAATTTTTTTTGACTGCGGACTAGTTGATGATCCATATAATAAACATCGAATAGCATTCCAACATATTTATTATCAAAAAATTTTAACAAATATTTTATGAAATTTGGATTAAATTAATATTAATATCAATTTAATTTTTAGAATTTATGGCTATACTTTGTAACTTTTACAACTTAATTAAACTTTATGTATTAATATTTAATAAAATACAGTATGTGGCTTTGTTAAATAAACACTATGGCTTTTATTTAATGAGAATCTGGGCTTTTTTTATGAACTTTATGGCTTTTATTTAATAAGGATCTAGGCTTTTTTAATAAATTTTAAGACTTTTATCTAATAAAAATCCAGACTTTTTTAATAAACTCTGGGCTTTTTTAAATAAACTTTATGGCTTTTATTTAATAAGAATCTGGGCTTTTTTAATAAACTTTAAGGAGAAGAATAGTAAATAATTAATTTTTTTATTTTGTATTTTTTTTTTCAAATACTCTAACAATTTAGCAAAATTTTTTATTTTTTAAAATTTTTTTTTATCTTCATATTTGAATTGAAAAAGGTGTTTTTTACATTTTTTAAGTTAATAAAATAAAGAACATTTAAATATATTTTACATTTAAAAAAAAACTATTTTACAGTTCTTTTCTAATTAGTCAGAACTGTTTTCGCGCAATAACTCGCTATCCAGTGATCATAAAAATATGATTAATGGATCATTAGAATCCACTCATAGAGAGCTTTCGAATGGTACCAAAATAACCTTTCTAGCATCAATAGATGGCGAGTTATTCATGTAAATATTTTAAAAATTATCTCATCATCTATCGAAGCTAGAAAGCTCATTTTAGTA